AATCCACATTTGTATTGTCAAACCTGTGCCACCTTTGGGTGCAGTATATGGTTGTACATTGTTGGATAGACTTCAAGTAATCCGTCATTTCGTCTCATTCCCGAAAGTGCTTACGATATTCGCATGAAGAACACTGCATCTTCTTGTGTGTACGATTGCTACGGTTACTTGCACTGCTAAACTCAGCTATGCTGCATATATATGCACAGAAAATATTTCTTCTCACAGATATGGCCCAGACGTCCGGTTTTTTACTCTGCACACCACAACAAATGGTTGAACGAGCATGCGGATACCCTCATTCCACGTGACGCACGCCTATTCTATAACGAAGAAGACTGGATTAAGTACAAACACATGGTGGAAACTGCAAAATTGCCAGCTATCAGTCTGACCAATATAGCCGACAAACAAAATCTCTCGTTTCAAGACTTTCCCCCCGTCGGCCGAAAGCGAAAGACACCCTTGAAAAATAGGAAGTTTTTCTTTTAACAACGGAAATAAACGTTGTTTTTTATTTCGAGCAATTTGAATAAAACGGTCCAACAAAGGATAAAGGGTTACCTTTTGCCGTGAATTATTCATGGGTGTTGTATCTTGAAGGTGTCTATTATTAGCAGTTTAGGAGATTGTTTGTTTTTAATTCCTCTGTTGCAACACTACAACACATGAAAGATGCTCGGAGATTTGAGTTCAGCTTAACTCAAAATAAATTCAATTTGGAAAGCCAGGTAGCATCCATGGAAGTACTGGGAATCAGGAAATGTACATTCCACACCGTCGTGGTCACTCATGTCTGCTACAAGATGTGCATAAGCCTCACAGTGATTCGATCTCTATAGTTTTGCCGATCGATGAATAAAGTACTGAGCTGAGCGAGTTCTACATTGCTGGAGACATCATGACTAAAGAGCGGATTCATTTATGACTGTGTGCAGCTTAAAGCATGGCCTTCAATTAGGCGATGAACTGGAAAGCGCGACTAGTCTCTGTTGGGCAATGGAGGAATACTCGTACACAGCAGCTGTGAAGGTCACACTCAGCGACATCTTTTCGGTGCTCATCGATCAACGTGGTAACCTGTAAACACAGTACGCTTTGCTTTGGCGAACGGAGTACTAACCAGCCGACAGTTAGGCACACCATCATGCTTTCATGTGGCGTTTTTCTATCTACGTCATGAAAAAAATCGGCTATCCTTCATAGATGTTTACGTTTGTTTTGTTTGCTGCGAAATGTAGCACTGCGTGGAACGCTGCTGAAGACGTTTAAACAGCTGAATAAACTGATTGCATTTCTAGTTGGTGGCTAGCGTGGTTAAGGATAGCAGCACTCAACAATCAGCCGCGACGAAGTAGCGAAGTTGTGAACTTAGCAGTAGATGTTTCGGTTGATCGGACTCAGGCAAAATTAATGGTCTTTCGTTCCATTATTCCATCTTCTTCACATGTCACAGGATACTTCAGATAAACGGATGTTGCTGCATTGTAGAAAGGCACCGATGTTGCTATCACTGATAAGAATGATGACACTGCCCACGGTATCTGTGGTGTTCGTACGCAAAACTGTTTGGTAGTCTCGCTTGTATAAGCGGTTTCATAACCCTTTGTTCATTCACTATGATTCATTCGCTTGTACAGAATCCAGGGGGGCAAGTAAGGTCTTTCGGTAGACAAGATACCAATCGTATATAAAACGGTGTCGTATTATTCTTAGGCGTTGTATGTACGGTTGTTTCAACCGCTTGTATACTTCCGTTTGGTCTGGTTCTATTTGTCACCATCGTGGTTCCACTATATGAAGTAATGCAGTCACTTTATGCTAATCGCTCAACTTGCCCTAATAGCATGAAACAAGTAATGTTTGATAAACTGAGTAAGTGAAATATGCTTGAAAGGCGTCTCTGAACGTATCCATCCACCTCAAGTGTGAAGAGGTAACCAATTACATTCTCATCAAGCTATGTTTCAAGTTGGAAGTGATTAGACGTAAGAAGTGACTGGTTTTATGGCAGAAGGTGCACCAAAATAGTTCCCTCCTAACACCCATCTATATTCCAGAACAACCGTTTGTACGCAGTATGTGAGTTTATCTTAACAACATCTATGTACCAAAGCTTATGGACGCAAAGCACATCACGGTGCCCGTATATACGAATTCTTTTTACATTGTGGGATGGTTGTCATTCGCCGACAAAAGCCAGACATGTATACAACACTGACGCATACGAAAGAAGGCATGTACATAACATTGGCGCACACTCAACACTCGCACCCGGACAAGTACCCGGAATCCTGTTTATTTATCTTTTCTGTCTTTTTACAACTGTATTTTGAAACTGGAGCGATAACTCCTAGAAGCGAAGGATGATCATTTGGGGACAACCGAACGTGGCCACACCGGAGCTGTGATGTTGAGAGTTTTACAAGTGTGAAGTCTGGTCTGAACTTTTGATAGCATTTTGTTTAAATGGTAGAGGCTTCAAGGTCACTTAGAATCGAAAGGCCAGTCGTTATTATCAGTGACTTGCGAGGACTAAAACAAAGCGAGGAAATATTCATTCTAATCATGCAGGACATCAATACACCTTTCTAAATCCTCTGTTGAAAATCACTAAGCGCGGATTAAGCGTTAAAAACTGGGTATGTAGATTGGTGGTCAGTTACTTGGAATATTTCCTGAGCCATAAAAGCAAGGTCGGGAGTACTTCTCATTAATAAAGCAGTCGGTGATGCAGATTTTACACGGATATGCACATATTCTACCACTGTAACTGTCATAGTTGACAGCCTACAAGCACGGTCCATGTGGGCACTACAGTTTCTCTTCCTTAGCGTAAATCGTTGTAAAGTCAGGCAAACGCACCTGATCTCTTGTGGCACCGAATTACGCTTGTTTATTACACCAGGCATTAAGTGGCACTGACACAAGTTTTTAACTTAATGATGCCGTAGAGGGACAAATAGTCCTACGCATAGAATCAGGCATTCTTGTATACAGAGGCGTCGTGCTAAATCACGCTGATTACCATTAGCGTTGTCGAAGAACTTTGGCGCAACCGTGAGGACAAAAATTTTCACTTGGCGTACCTGACGAACAAACCGAATTCGGACGAGGATGTTCAACAGTGGATAGCAGATGGTCGCAGAACAACAGCGTCGACAGGTAAGGCATCTAGTGAACAACATTTGATGAATTTCAGTAACAAGTAGATACACCATCACTGTGGAATCAAGATGACTTGCATTTTCACAAAGCGCTGGCTTGGACCTGAAGAAATCAGAATTATCCTGGATGGTCAACGTCGTGTTCAACGTTGTTTGCTGATCGATTCGCACCATTCGTTTGGCTACTGAAATATCGCAAGTAGCTCACAACTCTTGCACCTAATTTTTATTATGCGGTGGCGACCCTAGATGCGAGGATTTCTCGTCTGTACGACTTTAGGTGAATTTTAAGCCTGTTTCACCAATTTTTAATGAACATGACGAGTTGTTCCATTGGCTACAAGTGTAGAACTGAATTCGGACCTCTCCAACCTTTTGCTTGAATACACAAAGCAGTGTATCCTCTATCCTTGTGCAGAGGTAGGTAGGTTTCGCTGAGTTAGCCTGAAAATGTTTCTCTTTGCAGAAGATTTGATGAAGATGTAGCAGAAATAGCTGAAATAACACACAAACATGAAGGCAACAGCATATTAAGCCTCAAAAGTGGACACGTGGAATTGAACCCAAGATTCTCGTTGAGGTAAGAACGTTCAACCTACTTCAGCTCAATATTTGTCCTTAGCTTCTTAAATATACCGCTAAAGTATATGTTTTCCCCAAGTCTCAACGATTTTTGATAAATTTTCGGTTGACATCTATCGATTGACTCAGAGCATTGACTGGCTTCCTTTCCACCACTCTACAATATGTTTGATACGACTGTACCAAGATTCGGAGATCTGCAAAGACCCACATCGCTAATGCTTAGTTTACCACGTTGGATGTATACAGTATGACTGACTCTGGAAAGCCTAGTAAACTCGTCATCGCATGCAGCGCCTTGATTACCTGGTACCGTTGAAAACAGCTTACGCACGACGAGTGAATACACCTCCAGACCATATAATCCGCTAAGTTCAGAAAGCGCGCTGTCTATTTCCCCCTTAGATTAACAGTTAACAGTAAACAGTAATGAGCAAATCAGAGTGTTGCAGTCATGACGGGCTTCTCGAAACTGCTATACTCGTGAACAGTTTGTTACCCGGTATATGTGGATATTTCTAACATCGGTCAGGAATTGCCTGAGCGCTACAAAGTTCCATCATCACGTGCCACTTGTGTTCGAATTCCACACTTGCTTCTCACCCTTTCCTCCACTTTGATCTCAGCTGAATGAAAACAGTTGGGCTAAAAAAAAGATAACCAGGTATAAAACAGTGCAGCCGTTCCTGTTCAAAGACACAAGAATCAATGGACTACATCATTCCTCTTCGCCTATTAAATGTCTCTACTTAGTACTGCAAAAACAGAGCAGCAGGTAAATCTGTTCGAAACTCTGACTTTCGGGAGTTTCGCAGTGCTGATGACCCCAGTCAAGGACGAAGTAATTGTACGGTGGTTTTGGCTTTTCGAAATAGACTGGCTTCACTGACAGGAGGAGAACTCTACTGAACATCAGGAAATCTTCCCACCTCATCATAAATCTTTTTTATTTACAGCCAACCGATGGTTATAAATCTGTGCCCACTATCAACTGAACTCTGGTTGATCTTATATCACTCGATAAATCACCCTGGGGTACTAGGCTAGACTGACCCTGTCGTCTATGTCGATCGAATGTCTTGCGGTGTGCTTTGAAGCGTCTAGTCGGTCCGGGTCTTCCGGCGGATTACTTAGGAAGCGTGATCACTAACCGCCTGATCCACGTGAACTAGAGTACTAGCCCAGCCGAATCATTCAGTGATTGCCATACAACTATGGGTTTTTGTGTACCCTATCGGGGCAGAAGGAGGGATTGGGTTAATCAACATTAATGTTTATGTTAGAATCATTAAGTGGGACGGTAATCAACACAGTTCGTTCGTTTTGTTTAACACGTGCCATTGATAGTACATAATCCCGGGTGGAGAATTTGAAAGGATGTTCGACATGGGTCGTCAGTTCGTACTGCTGTGATTGCTCGTCTTCCCACCATGGATGTCCATTGCTCACTATTTGCTGATAAAAAGAATTCAGTTTGTTGACCACAAAGGCTCGGTCATACACCAAACGCACAATCTCCTGCTTGAGGTCACAGTAGACGTGAACAGATTCTGGAATGGCACGCTCATCCAATTCGATGACCAAAACTGAATGGGTAGGGGCTACGCGGATTTTCACGACTGTGCTGATTTTAGGCATGCAAGAAGGAATTCTGATAGAGCCCGATTCAGTTGGAACCACGATAACAGAGTCACTACAACGCAGCCGCCGTTCGACAGAATCCTTCTTGTCATGCTTAACACGTCCCATCGGTGGTCGTGGCGAAAAGTGAATTGGATAGCGTCGCACGTCCATTCTGTGTGGTGTCAGTTGTCGTCGTCGCAGAAGATCCTTTTTCGCTTGTCTTTGAATTATTTCTTTATCCACAGTCAGTGTAATATGGGGAACTTTGACATTTTTATCAATCGTCTGGAAATGGAAATAGGAATGTGAAATTCTGAGCTCTTGGCTGGCGAAAAAACACTTTGTTATGGAGGAGTCTTCTCTAACAAAACTTGTTCACGTCTTCTTATTAAGTGATGGACTCAGAAAACGAGCAGTAAACACAAATATTATGTTTTTGCAAAACTAAAATCACACTTGTGTGCCCTTGGTACTGCCCTCGGTCAGTGCAAAAATTACGGTTTCCTCCGCAATTGGTAGTCGTTTTACTCTAGATTTCATGTCAAGCTTTGGCCATTGCAATCGAGGATTTTCGGGGATGAAATTAACTAAATTAGGTGACTTTGCATGGTGAAGCACGCATGACGAACAGGAGTAATCGTCCTTAGATCATTTGATGTGTCTCTCTTCAAAGTGAGGGTGTTGGTGCATCATTTTGTGAGTCTTGTTCGACCACAAAAAATGACTTTTGGAAAGCAATAGTTCTGCTTCTGATCTGTCGCTCCTAACCAGCGGCTACGCCGGTCGTCTTTCATACAAATGTTCGCAGCATGAAATATTTCATACGAGATAATTCAACCCAGAAATATTTCACCCCACTTAAAGGACAAGTACATCTTAAGAAGATTTAAGGGCAACATTTTTGCTAAAAAAGTAATCTAGGCCAAAAACCACGGGTTTAAACCCAGTCCTCAAGAAACATCAACGTGTATTAGAATACTTAGAGGAAAGTGACTATATAAACAACACACTGCCCCGAAGGGTGCATTTATTGTCAGCGGCGAAAGGGTTTCTGGCGATCAAGCAGTGATTTATTGAAAGAACCGTCATTTTATATATCCAGGAAAGATCACTACAGGGCCAATAGATCTTGTTCTGAGCACAGTTAAGCTCAGGCTTTACCGAACCGGAAGTTACGACTCATGGTATTTATGTTGGAACGTATGAATCGATATAACTCTAGAAAGCTATTTGGTTGGTCATGTGATCCGACGGCCAGACTATGCTGTTAGCAGTGAGTCAAAATGCTGACAAACTCAATGGCTAATGCGTGGTTCTACCCCAATGAATAAACTAACAGAGTCTAGTGTGTGTCCAATGGTTGCTGCGATCGTGTCACCACGCTTACAAGTTACGTGTCAAGCCGTATATTCATTACTACATCGAAAAAATTAACACGCCCTTTTGAATGTGAACTTTTCGAAATGTTTGATGAATTTTTTTCGCCCCAGGTATATGTGCTTGTGAGGTTTGTCTTTCGTGAACCAGATAGTTGTGCAAATTTTTGGAGCCAAGCTATCCTTTGAAAGCAAAGAATACCGTGTGTACTTTATTTCCATAGACTGTTCTAAGGCTGTGCTAATCATCGTCAGAGATCACTACCTTCCATTTGGATTTTCTAGCTATTGGATAGAGTTCAATTGACTGATTACACCAGTGACTGAAAAGCGAATTCAACAGCAGTCCTAGTAACTTACCTCAAGCTGTGCTATGACAGTGATTGTGGGCAGCCAAGATACTCATTCGATTGACTTGAAATGTCACGTGTTCAACCACAACGATAGATTATTTTTCGCCGCTGTTTATTACGTTGTTAGTGACAAACTCAAGCGCTTACGTCAGTAACGTATCGGAGTTGCAGTGATTGTCGACAGTTATGTGAGAACGTACAACCTCTCTACTGATTTATTGCTGCTAACTCATTGCTTCGTGTTGTGTTGTGTGGCAGATGGGTTAGCGAGTCGCATTCTCTTTGAAAAACAAGTTCAACGTATGAGTCTGGATATTGTCTATTTTATCAATGCTATGGGAATCGTAATTAAGTGAGAATTGAAAATCCAACAGCACGACTTTGAATGTTAACGTATATGCTTTCGAATACAGAACTTGTTGTACGAAATTAAAGGGTAGAAGGTTCTGGTGAAAGTGGTATGACAACGCAAGGTCCGGCACTTCTTTGAGTCATTGCATCATTTCGTATGAGTCTTTCAGTAATTGTCTGGTGGAATAGATTGTATGATCAGCCGCATTTTTACCATGACTATACTCTTACTGAATGAAGTGGATATCCTTTGGTGATCAAACGTGAGTTCCCATCCGAAAAAGAATCCGGAATTCACAAGGATATCACCTTGTTGAACTAATGTAAAGGCATGAGAATGGAGGCATGCACACGGAAGAATTATGCAATCGAGCTGCCGTGAGATCTTGTCATATTCCTACTACTCTGATTGAATAAGACATATTGAGTGGTGCCTCTTCATAGTTGCATCGAACTGGCATCCAACTCAATTTATAAGTCATGGACATCCGCAACTTCACTCACCGGCTCTACGAGTTCTTTCTATGGGGTCCACCTTGTACGGAACTCATCACTACAGTTGAGATACTCCAGTAATCTACGGGGTAGATCAGAGGTTAGTTATTAACCACTGTTTTGTGTCTGTCTCCAGTCATTAAAACATCGGACTGCTGTGTATACGTATTCCTTTGACTGTTTCCGACGTTCCTCATCCGTTGGGCTGTAATGCAGTGCATCATCACGAAGTAATTTGACGTCAAATCCCTGGGACCCGTATGTGTTCGGCTGTAGAGTTTCTCTGTGGATGATTTCAAATGGGTCAATCTCATCGGGTTAGGCCGATTCACTTGTGATCAACCACATCTCCTTTGGTAGCGCCCAGTTTACGTGATTTTAACTCTGTCACACCATATTATAAATTTCACTTATTCACTTCACCTAACCCGTTCGTTGTAAATGAAATTATGTCCAAAGACTAGCGACAACAAATGGAAGTACATGATGAATTTTCTACCCATGTTATTACAAAAATAGTGAAAATGACTGTCTACCCCCTTTCATTTGTCGGTCTTCATCTTGATTGTTGAATTACATTTGATGCAGCTTTTTAGGAGGAAGTTCGCATTCTTGGGTATTTTATCACACAATGTCACGTGTTCAACCACAACGATAGATTATTTTTCGCCGCTGTTTATTACGTTGTTAGTGACAAACTCAAGCGCTTACGTCAGTAACGTATCGGAGTTGCAGTGATTGTCGACAGTTATGTGAGAACGTACAACCTCTCTACTGATTTATTGCTGCTAACTCATTGCTTCGTGTTGTGTTGTGTGGCAGATGGGTTAGCGAGTCGCATTCTCTTTGAAAAACAAGTTCAACGTATGAGTCTGGATATTGTCTATTTTATCAATGCTATGGGAATCGTAATTAAGTGAGAATTGAAAATCCAACAGCACGACTTTGAATGTTAACGTATATGCTTTCGAATACAGAACTTGTTGTACGAAATTAAAGGGTAGAAGGTTCTGGTGAAAGTGGTATGACAACGCAAGGTCCGGCACTTCTTTGAGTCATTGCATCATTTCGTATGAGTCTTTCAGTAATTGTCTGGTGGAATAGATTGTATGATCAGCCGCATTTTTACCATGACTATACTCTTACTGAATGAAGTGGATATCCTTTGGTGATCAAACGTGAGTTCCCATCCGAAAAAGAATCCGGAATTCACAAGGATATCACCTTGTTGAACTAATGTAAAGGCATGAGAATGGAGGCATGCACACGGAAGAATTATGCAATCGAGCTGCCGTGAGATCTTGTCATATTCCTACTACTCTGATTGAATAAGACATATTGAGTGGTGCCTCTTCATAGTTGCATCGAACTGGCATCCAACTCAATTTATAAGTCATGGACATCCGCAACTTCACTCACCGGCTCTACGAGTTCTTTCTATGGGGTCCACCTTGTACGGAACTCATCACTACAGTTGAGATACTCCAGTAATCTACGGGGTAGATCAGAGGTTAGTTATTAACCACTGTTTTGTGTCTGTCTCCAGTCATTAAAACATCGGACTGCTGTGTATACGTATTCCTTTGACTGTTTCCGACGTTCCTCATCCGTTGGGCTGTAATGCAGTGCATCATCACGAAGTAATTTGACGTCAAATCCCTGGGACCCGTATGTGTTCGGCTGTAGAGTTTCTCTGTGGATGATTTCAAATGGGTCAATCTCATCGGGTTAGGCCGATTCACTTGTGATCAACCACATCTCCTTTGGTAGCGCCCAGTTTACGTGATTTTAACTCTGTCACACCATATTATAAATTTCACTTATTCACTTCACCTAACCCGTTCGTTGTAAATGAAATTATGTCCAAAGACTAGCGACAACAAATGGAAGTACATGATGAATTTTCTACCCATGTTATTACAAAAATAGTGAAAATGACTGTCTACCCCCTTTCATTTGTCGGTCTTCATCTTGATTGTTGAATTACATTTGATGCAGCTTTTTAGGAGGAAGTTCGCATTCTTGGGTATTTTATCACACAAGAGTAGGTACTCCGCCGTTTAAAAAAAACAATATATACACCTGTATGCGGAGCTTTCGTTAGCGGTTACTACCACACTTCTACACGAACTCAGACGGCTTCTACTACCCACCAAATCTGAGATTTTTTTATCTCTGAGAGTTATATTTAGACTGCGACTCACCTCGTTATACGACAGCCTTCTTGGCAAAATCATGGGAGTGGTTCACTCATGCTAGGACACGTGACATGATTAGTTTGCGAAATTTTCTGTCGAATATGGGCTTATATTTGAGCATTTCGAGTAGTTTTGGCTTCCAGTTACTAGTAATGCCCCAGTGAGAGCAAGGGATTAGCTCACATGAACAACATAGCTCACATGAATAATATGTTCATATTATTCAGATGACTTTTTTCCGCAGTAACGTTTTTGGATGTTCCATATATATGCTTAACATTTTCAGTCGGTCCACTCATTGTTTGATTCGAATGAAACCCAAGTCAGGTAGGTCGAATCAAAAACCACATAAATGACACTGTAGCAGATCCCATAAACTATTTCCAGTGGGTGGTTAAGCTGACTTTTAACTTTCTCAAGAGCAAGATGATTTCCCTAAACTAGCACAAGAGGTTACTGACTAGTGGAGATAGTGGATATCTCAGTAAATACGTTTGTGGTCCTGGCTAAAAACCAATATCTAGGATTGGGGAAATACGGTGATTTCCATGAGGAAATAAATTCCCAAATCAAAATAAAGAAACCAAACGCAACAGTTGTATTGATGAGATCAGCAAACTACAGTCAAGTAAGGCTGAGAATCAACTCACTCAGTAAAGTCTCGCCTATCACGTCCTCAACCTCTGTGTCTCCTGTTAAACGTGTGGCTGTCAGCCCAAGTGTGGGAGAGTTGCCAAGTCGCCGAACGCCATACAACTGCCCATAAGCAAACTTGGCTGTAGAACAATGAACCTCACTGAACGTTACTCTCTCCTCAAAGGCTGCACTCAAATCTGAAGCTTACCTCATGGGAATGGATGGGTTAAGAAATTCGGCATACCAAACGGAGTGTCACTCGCTATCATCAAGGTAAGATTCCTGAAAGTGACCTCAGAACGCTCGGAACCTACTGAGACCCGGAAAGTCCACCAAAATCTCGATAGGGAAGCCGGCAAGCATCCGGGCTAATCAATCATTCAAGCAATTTAGCAAAAGCCGTTGAGTGTTCAGGCACGCCGCAGAAGCATGACCGAATGTGATCAGCGTTCAGGTATGTCATAGAGGCACGATCGATGTTGATGGGTATTCACTAAACGCCTATCAGGCAGCCTGGAGCAATGTCAGAAAGTGTCTTTTAAATAGCGCGGGGCCGTTGTAACTTATGCTCTCGCACGCCCTCACTCGCTCGTTCGGAATAGAGCCGTTGTGTTCCCTTCTGTGAGTCTTTTTCCCGGCATTTGATACTGGAGTGGGGTCAGCAGCAGATACAACAGCGAGTCAGCAGATATGACACCTGCTTGTAACTGAAATCGAAGTTTATTTTTATGTTAACCCAATTTCTGGTCATCATCGCTAACGCAAGCAACTCCCTTTTGTTTAGAGTAAAGACAATAGGTAGCTAAGATCATAAACAGCATGACTTCCCTGATGGTGGAGTCGTTAATGGTAGAGAGAATATACACAAGCTGACAAAGTAAGCAAACGGACACTGATTTCATACGTCCGGCGAAAGGCAGTGCTAACAATAAGTTTAGCACAATCGACGCCTGATAGAAATCAGTTACGGTTTTGGACCCCGGAAATGTATCATTCTTGGGCTTGTTAATCAAAGTTAGTTGTGAGTTCACTACTAGTTTGGGGACACCAACAGATGAAGCAAGGAAGGGATTTACTTGAATGCGTTTACTGTCAGCCGGTGAACCATCGAACCCCTCCCATTTAAAGGGGAAATCAAATCAACCAGCGCAGCCACGGGGTGGTGTAAATTATTTGGTTAGTCTTTCAGGATCATTCTAACAAGCACGCATTTAGGGTTGTTCATCAAGGGAAAATATGTAGCAACGTTGTAGGAGCTCAATAAGTTTACATTGCTAATCAATTCTGACAGACTTTTGCCCACCTGACCAGAACATCTGCGGTCGTTAGAAAACAACACAGCGTGTATCCAAGATTTCGAAGCAGAAGTGATCTTCGATTCAAGAACGGTGTGGCAAACAACCAAACGATCCTGAAATGGGTTCGTTCTGCAAACTGCTTGCAGTTGGGACTCAGAGTGAACATAGGTTGACAAAGGGGAAATTCATCTGGTAACCAGACCTACCTGATCAGTCCGGAGAATGCTAAAACCGGTCGTGGGCTGTCCAACAGCTTCAGCAGCCTTATGAGTAGTGTTCACTGAACAAGATGTTTAGATTCGGCTTCAGGCTTTTGCTGATGCCGTTACCTAAGAAACTGAACGAAGTCTCGGATGAAGTATGCATTGTTTGAGTACTCTGAACTCTACTTCGAAGATTGTTACTGCAGTTGTACGATGGAGACGTGTTGCATGTGAAATGTGTCACTGGCACTCGGTAGTTTTGACCCTATTAGCATATGGCCCAAGCGCAAAAGTTTCATTATGGAAAATCAACCGTGACACAAACCCCTGTGACAAACCAACTAGACCCTCTCAGGTTGTCTCATTGAACTTGCCGAATGTCTGGGCAGCGTCGAGTAAACAAACATGGTTATGGCATGTAAATTTTGATTAATTATAACCATAACTACATGTTTTTTTACCAGGCGTGACGTTCCAGGTCCTTTTGTTTCAGCTTTTAGAGCTTGCTAGCAAAGTTCCCTCTATTTGGCCTCAGTTTGCTGATGGATACCGCTGGCAGCTGTACATCTAACTTTCGCCCTGTGTTTGCTCTCCCAAAACGCTTACTGGTCTCCTGAATTCTAATGGAACAATTGGTCAAGCTACCCCCGTGTCTACTGGATGAACCGGCCAACTAAAATCGAACCCATTGGTGACCGAATTCCCGTGATTAGATAGGGGAGACATTCTCTCATAAGTGGTGATCCGTGAGCACTAGAGCCCAAATCTCCCCAAATCTGTGTAGGTGTACGTAAGCAAGGGTGCAAGCGAGCCATTGGTTGTCCACTTCAGGTGATCCTAAATATGGCTATGTGCTGCGGTGGACGCAGTCCTTAAGGTTAATCTACTGGCCCAAGATTCGTACAGTTCCATCTGTTCAGGATGAATCACACCGTCGCACCATCTGCAGTGCTCGGAGCTCAAGGTTCGCGGTTGCCCAGCTAGACAACAAAGTGATTTGACAGGACATCAGGACGACTGTTCAGACGAGAGTGATGTGAACATGAAAGATACACATGCGGTAAACTCCACAACCGAATCAGTGACAAGTGTCCTTCCATTCAACTGAATCAAAGATACTCTCCCTGACTGTCTTTGTGTGCACTGCCAGTGGAGTTGTAGGTAGTGTGGGTCTAGGGTGGGAGGTGTAGTGCGTGGGCTCACAAAACACTTTCCAAGTTAGGAGTGTGCATGCATTTTGTTGTTGTGACCCAGATAGACAAGAAAACAACGGCTGGTTACCATAATACTGGTTTAGTTCGCATGTAGCTGGGGTGTGCAGCATGTCAAGATGCGCGCATCAGAAACAATGAGGTGACCCGCGCGCATTAACCATCAACCCAGACAAGGTCAGCAGCGCTTGTTCGCATGAACAAAGGATAACTAGATGACGCTGACATCAAGGATAGTTAGTCATTTTTTCTGCGTCAGCAAACAGGGTGGTTTAGTTGATTGGTCTCGGGGTGGGGTGATTGTAAGTAAACTGAACAAAACCGGTTGCAGCATAATTTTCCGATCAGCTGCGTATTCAGTGTACCTATTTCTAGTAAAAATATGGGAACACCTGGTACAGCAGAGAAGCTCTCGGTGTTCAAGAGGGCGGGTATACTGGGAAAGCCATTGCACTCAGAAACCATGCAGAGACCTGTGGACCGTTCTTCGAATGTATGTTAGATAGTCACAACACATCGCTCAGCTGTAACTCTCTTCCGGTGCCCAGCTGCCACGTTATCCGAATGAAGCACAAGGGTTGGGATACTGTCAGGTTGCCCAAGCCTAGACAGAGGAAGTCGAAAGGTAGAGGTCGGGTTCGAACCACGGAACTTCCGGTCAGTAAATTCGCGTTCTAAAGCCTTGAGCCATCTCCCGCCCAAGCAGCCTACTAGAAGTTTCAGGTCAGTCTATAGTCTAAGGGGGTTAGTCATGATACTTTTCAGTGGTCGGAAATGTTAAAAGAGATTCACGGTGGTATCCCTCTTATAGACAATGTTGGGTGCAACAAACCCATGCAGCTTGCTGCAGAGACAGATATTCCAAGTGTCCAAAGGACGGATTCTGATTAAGTTTGTTGAGTAATGGTATCGATAGTAAAATTCTCATTCAGATATGTAAGGAGCAAAGGGAAATGCCACAAAGTTTAGATAATGACACAAAACTGCCTCTCTGGTATTTTCCAGGTTTGAAGAAATCGATCTGTTCAATTCCAAAGACAGTGGAGAGAGAGAGAGTATGGGGTAACCACTGGAAGTGTCTGAAGAGCGACGAAGTCTTTTACCCTCTGAAGAGATGGAAAGTGAAGAAGACCTCAAGATGTTCCAATTTATGTTCCAAATTTTCTCCGCAGTCAGTGTCCGCCAGGGGTGGACTAACAGCTTCTTTTTCGGAGTTGAATATCGGATAAGAACAGGAAGATAATCTTTCAAGACAGGCAGATACTCGCATTGATTGGTAATTCTACCTCGTGCTGAGTAACGAATGAATTGTTCAACGTCCGCTAGAGGACTTGCTTGTATAATGTGTATTGGTCACCCAGCTGATGAACGAGGATATAATCTAACCATTCAAGCAGGAGTTCTAAAAAATCAACTCGACCTTTTAGGTGGTCACGTAGAAAAGGAAGATGGTGGACATCCATAGCATTCATAATATGTGACGGTCATCCATTTAACCAGAAAAGCCTGGGAGCACTTCACCCCACCAAGCTACGGTCACCTTCAAAATAGAGAAATTGGTGTCGCCCAACTTGCGCGAGAACAGAGGTCATGAAGATTATCAAGAAATATCATCAAAGATGATGATATTTTAACCATCATGAGGTGGGGCATATTGACCTTGATCTTGTTGAGTGAGTTCCAATGTAATAACCTAATTTTCGTTAGGTTTTCAAGGCTGGTTGAAACACGATCACAAATGGTTCTGTTTACAGGGAAGACGATAAAAATTATAAGATAGACCCAGTGATACAAGTGAAGCAGTCAGCTTTCCAAAACGCTTCGAAATTGAGCATAATTTGGCATCCGTCGATTTTAGAAAGTCTTCTATAGAAACTTGTGGATCCAGGCCGGATCGGGTGAAAATCTGCTGCCAGGTGAGTGTCTACTACTTTTGTGATGCAGCGTAATTGCAGTTTCAGATAACCGATTCCTATCTACATAGTTAGATAGATAGATAGATAGTTCGAACCGAAAAGAAAATTTTCCACCTCTGTTAAATGACCACAGTAGCCCTAGGTATGAGGCTGGTCATAGTGTATGTATTTCAGCTCCCTTTTCTGTAGTTGAGGTAAGAACTGTATCAAATGGAATTTAGGAAATTTCACATTTCATATGTTCCTAAGTTGCACGCGCAGCCTACCGGGTTTGTAAATTCATAACTCCACCACTACTTTGAAGATATGGAGTACTTGGTCTCCTGTCTGAATCTGGACGATGATAAGACGGGAGATTTCTTGGACGGCGACTTTATTGTCAGCCTTCCTGTCAAACACAGCGAGTGACACTTAAATTAGGAACAGGAAAAACACTATTTTTACACGTTTCCGGTTAGATGTGGCCTCCACAAAAAGTCCAGGAAGAATGTAAAGGCTCTGCTTATGTAACGGACTGCTCATTCTTTCTTGACTGGGTGGTTTTCGCCGTTTATCACAACACCATCGCCTTACTTTGTCAGAAGACAGGACGATTTAAGAATAGTTAAGTTTTATTCTTAAACCTTCACGGTTCCTAAAAGGTATAATGGAGGAAGACATAATCAATTGTTCATCCGGTTCGCAAATGCGGTCGGCGGCCGCTCGGCGCTGCAGTAAACAATGAAGCATTTTGGAGAAGACATGCTATATCCAGGGTCATCATCAGGAAGAAAAGCACAATGTAGTCGTTTTTGGAGACCAACTGAATTCTTTCTCTATGATTACTGTGTCTAAATGTCCCTTACCACGGATATCGTGAAAAGTAAGGCATCTGGCTTAGTTGTTCCCAGCTGGGTGGATTTCACCTCAAGAGCTGAAAATGATAGATCAACCATTCCTAAAATACCTTAATATGACACCAGAATTATCTTAACGGCAACATATTTGGTCTTCTGGGTACTTGGCGTTGTTCCATACAATTGAAAATGATTTCCAATGTTTGACGGCAGCTCGACTTTCCCTCGTACCCATCGTAAGATTTTGATGGCTAGCAGAACAGCCGGTAACAAATATTCTGTGAATATGAGGGCATAATTTTCAGAACACTAAGTGCTAGTCCCTTCTGCTTCACTTTCCAAAAGTTTGTATCATGAAATGCTTCTATCTGTGCTATCAAACTGATCCAATTTTCAAAGTGAACTTAAGAGACGTTGGCGTGTCAGACACTCCAATAAATAAGAGATTGAATTCTCAATTGCTGTGGTATGGCTTCAACGTTTACTGCCGCGAAGATTTACTGCAGTCAACAGATCACAAGGTAGTCACATTCCAGTTCATTCCTTGTACACCGGCTACAAACTACTGCTGAAACACTGCACAAAGTGGACTGAAACCTATCAACCGACAAACGAATTTTTACTCTAAGATGGATGTCACGGCTGACGTTACGCCCACATATACCCAATCCACTATGTGTGCAAAGGTCGTTGTCTAGAAAGCCTGATTAGAAATTCGATCAGTATCATCGTCATTATGCTCACCATCCAAAATAGACTGAGAAGCCTAATCTTGGTATGTCTCTGTGACCAAATATGTAGGAGGGGTTATCCATGTGACGTTTTCACATATCATTTCAGGTTGGTCATTGGGCAGAGCATGAACCAACAGAATCTCGTAACCCTTTAGGTTGGAGTTTGAAACATTTGTGCTGACTTGGTTCACGAAGGCTGAACTAACAGGGTATTCGTATACCAACCAGTGATACCTTATCGTCCAGTTCTGAACTAAAGGTTGAGGTAACTTGTCGTTTATTTCCCTAGGAGCCCTGCTAGTGTGTCGGTTCACATACAAACACTGATTGTTTAATTCCATATCAGCCCTCATCTGCCATCAGCAGGGCTACCTTACTTACTTTACTTACTTACTTACTTACTTACTTACTTACTTACTTACTTACTTACTTACTTACTTACTTACTTACTTACTTACTTACTTACTTACTTACTTACTTACTTACTTACTTACTTACTTACTTACTTACTTACTTACTTACTTACTTACTTACTTACTTACTTACTTACTTACTTACTTACTTACTTACTTACTTACTTACTTACTTACTTACTTACTTACTTACTTACTTACTTACTTACTTACTTACTTACTTACTTACTTACTTACTTACTTACTTACTTACTTACTTACTTACTTACTTACTTACTTACTTACTTACTTACTTACTTACTTACTTACTTACTTACTTACTTACTTACTTACTTACTTACTTACTTACTTACTTACTTACTTACTTACTTACTTACTTACTTACTTACTTACTTACTTACTTACTTACTTACTTACTTACTTACTTACTTACTTACTTACTTACTTACTTACTTACTTACTTACTTACTTACTTACTTACTTAATAAAGCGGTGGACATAAGTAAAAGAGACTTTATAAGATAACTATAGCATTGTCCATTTATCACCTAGCTCCCATCTGGTAGCTTGCCACAACTCAGGTCTGCCTCTCAGACCTCGTTTCGCCGTTTTTACCATAAATTTAATGTGGGAACTCTGGAACAAACTAAGTGACAGGTGACTCCAGCGAATGTACCTCAAAAGCAGATATACTTCCGAAACTAATGTAAGATTCAGACAAGGTATTCAGGTTTACCACAGCAACCCTGACATCTGCCCACGAAGTTTAGTCATTCCTTAGAGAGTGCAGTGGGTTGAAAATGCATCCACCAGCTAGCAAGCTGGAGATATCCCATTTTCTTAATTCTCCTCGGATAGATTGAAGCCTGCTTCAGGTTCTATACCTATTCCAAGTAGCTCTGGCTCTGATCGAACGAAATATGCGCATCGGAAACTAACCAAACGCTTTCCAATTAAGAGGAGTTCAAATGAAAATTCTAGTAGCCAGAGGTCATAGTGATCAGCTTGTCAGAAGCGATAGCTGCGGTTTCTTCGCCTCAGAGTTAAAGGCGCCCTCTAACCCCAGTAGTACTGGCTTTGGGTATAGTGTGTTACTTACAATCTCACGACTGTGGGGCCACAGTAACCACACAGCCGGTGACAGGGCTCTGTTTTCCATCTTTGATCTTTCTGGAATAGTCAGGTTATTTCGGATCACGCGTCAGTCTAGTGTAAGTTCTAGATAAATTCCCCCTCGTTTAGCAGTCGAAAAACGCACTGGGCCACTTATTACAGCAACCTATGTAAGGCCCGGAAAAAGGCAATAGTAATCGCGCGGGATAAAGTTCTACATGTACACGGTACGAAACTTGGCACATGGTTTTCCTAAACGCGCATCTCATGAGTGCTGAATTTGAGAAGTTTTCGCTGTCATACTTTGTCGTTTCTCTACTTGAATCCCTTCGGCCTATGAACACAACTCAGTCAGATGTGTGTGATGCCACCTGGACCATAGCCTACTGGCGAACAGCTTAACAAAGTGGAATCAGAAGGCACCAGCAATGGACAAAGCTAATTGTTTTCGGAATGTTTGGAAACTGCCTAGTCTCATGAATGGAATGGGGATCAAGAAATGAATTGTTAGTGATGTTGTCAAAGGTGATTTCTAGATTAGTTTATACAACTCCAACAAGGGTTTGTTACAATTGGCGGGCATGCGGCAATCTCTCTCTATATCCGTGTTTTCGCTTAACATGCTCAGATGAAAATGTGGCTTGTGAGCTAAGACCTTCCCCCGCTTTCTGAACTGTTAAAATGCCTGTCAAATTTGAAGAAACATCAGAGTGCATGGCTAGATATGTTTTCCTACTGTCAGTCAAACATGCCCGTATATATTTGTGCTCTGTCTTGAGTTTTCTGCTTGAGATTCACCCAAGTAGCAATTTTTAACATCAAGTCAGATCCGTACCGTCCAGCGAGGCACACCTGAAGTGTAGCAGGAGTGCTTGTACAACAGGATAAAGCAAAGAATTGGCAAGATGTATAAGCAGTTTTATGAACACCATACAGAAACCTAGAAAATACTTAAACGAGGCTAGAAAAAGTTTTCACCTGAACCGCTGGGTTTAGTGCAGGCCAAAGTTTACAGTGTACATAAGGGTTACCAAGAATATGAAAGGTGGGTCGTCTTGAAGCTTAATCAGACCATTTCACAATAAATTTTGAGACTTACTCAACTGGTGTATCCACATTCATTTATTCACATTAGTGGAGTTGCCTTTCACTTAGTCATTGTCGCATCCCATAGCTGTTATCGCGGGGCGAATGAGTGCAGCCTGGTATTTCGGGTCCCCATTTACAAACTTCATACCATTCTATACCAAATAATGTGTGAAAGCACAATAGAAAAAACGCATCGTGAGTGGATACCTGCCCCGGAGTCACCTTCCACCAAAGTGTATCCAAATATCGTTTCCATATAAAGATGACCGACAGAAGAAAAACTGAGGGATCAATGTTCATGGAATTTACGTTTGTATCGAGCCTGGGAGTAAGTTACTGTTGCCTGCATCATAAAACTACTGTTTTCTTCCTTACCTGGTTGTGAAGGTAACATAACCTAACATACAACTATGCACCACGCAATTTGCAATGTCTGATCGCGTGTTTTCTTTCAGTTGGACAGCTTCTTCTATCAAAATATTTGCCCCGAGTCTGGGTGCAAACGTGACATGCATGGGTGCACTTGAAACGTCTTGACTGTAGTTCGAAGTTTGCACTGCTGTACGCTTCTACTATTGTACCATAGTACAACATTTCTTGATTAACTTAATCTTGATTAACTTAATCTATCGGTTTCGCATTTATAAACTATGCTTCATTCAAACTGGGCGCTTCTGATTATACATCTTTGTAATGTACTGCTCATAAGGTTGCTGAAAATCCGTCACAGCCCACGGACCGGTTTCGCCAGTTTCGTGCAATTTGGTTTCATGTAGAACATAAGGTTGACGGAAACCCGGGCAATATGCCTACCTGATGAATCCCAAGAAGGGCGAAAGCGGTCGCGGGCTGTCGACGGATTTTCAGCAACCTTACAAAGATATTGTGAGAATTTAGTTTCGCACGTATATCGGAATAACCCAAAGGGTGTGTTGATCACGGTAAGATTACTAGAGGCTTCGTCCAGTGGTATTTGAAGATAGGCATCTTTTAGATCGATTTTTGAAAACACACTTGAACCTGATAGTCGATACAGTACAGATGTACATGTATCGCGATATCTCAAATATCGTAGCGACTGAAACATGAGGCGGCCTGGTGCAGCACATTCAGTTGCCTGATAACATCACAAACGAGAGATTAAGCTGGGTTTTGGGTGAGTCTCTCGAAAACCCAAATTAGTTTGCAAATGAGTGTATTATAGTTTATTTCGAAACTCCACGTTTCGAGTACATTGAGCAAGTGAACAAAGTAAAAATATAGGTTGGTGTAGTACTTCGCAGCTCTGTGAGTACTGTGTCCAGTTCACTCCTCTCTTAAATTTGTTCACAATAAAGTGTGACTGAGCCATTTCGAGCGTTAACATCATATCAACTAGTTGAGGTTGTCTTGTCATCTCAGTAGGGACTAATCCTCACATTACTGAAACTTTCCCCTAGTTGTTGGTCTGTCGGTGAAAAAGAGAGCATAGATTTTACTTTGCTATGTTTATTCTGAATTTCATAGGTTAGTGTGCAAACGACTTATCTTAATGACTGACCCCAGCTTTAAAATATGAATCTGAATAGCCACTAACTTGAAGTTTTTGGGGTTGCTAAGGTTGTCTTTAAAAAATCAGGAAACCGTTTGTTAGTTGTTGGTCGCTGAAGTGTTTATAGAATTCTTTCTCATTTGAACAGCCATACCCTTGTCCTGAACCAATTATTTTGACAAATTTTTGGCCGTGCAGAGGTTTGAACTCCGGAAATCTGACATTAGATTCGAGCGCGTTACCACTATAACGTTGGATACAAATGATGGGGCATGTGAGTAGTATGTTTTCTCGTACATCCGCTTCGTGTCTCTTGAAAAGTGGGATCTATTACGGAATTGGTGGAGTCGCTTTTTAGCCTTCGCGTGCATTAGAGTAACAGTCAAGTAAAGGAAAGTTCAGGAAGACGCGTTCAAGAAGCAGATGGAAATTCAGTTTTCGTAAACAAGATGCATATGAGAGTTTTGCTTCCCTCTCCGATAGTCTGTAACCGTTCAGATGGTGTTTCCTAAAAAACAACTCCGCAACGAAGGTCTTCTTACTTCCACCAATACTTCACCAACGCATGCTGGACGCACCTGCACAAACAGACGCACGTGTTCTGGCTTCAGCAGTGTGAGTGATTCACCCGAAGACTCTAAAGATGACCCAGTAACCGTACTGGTTGTGCCGATTGATTTGCTCGTCTGTCTGGTATCGCCTCAAACCCCTGAAATCTTCTGGACAGTTTTTGATTTAATGGTAGGTAGTTGCGAGTTCTGTGGATTTCACACTCATTAGCGGTAAATCTTTCGATAACTGAAGCTTCTGTGGCTTCTTCCTACTCCATATAATAATCTACTCAGGGGCAGTCAAGTGAGTTATTCAAAAATGCGTCAACTTCAGACCTCTTTCTCTTAAAAACAAACTAAACTTTAAACACAGTCGTTGGTGTGCTCGGAATGGCAGTATTTTTGCGGTAAGACCTAAAGCTTCAAATTAAACGTCATGTGGGGTGTTGGGGTTATATTCAAGTGAAGCATCCAACAAAATAAGAAATAAGTATCAAGAAAGTAGTGAACAACGGTCACAGCGATAAAAATTGACGCGTCAAGATGTGGTGAAAAGGTGGAAGCCTGGTGGATACTTACGATCTCTCTCCGCACAAGAACTGTTGTTTCAGGAAGACTATACCTCGGAATTCTCCAGGAATGCATCTCCGGCGGTAGATATTCACTGCTTCTTCTCCTCACTGTCGTTTTTGAATTTTTGGGTTTCTTCGAACGTGATGATTTCCACTTCACGCTCGTTCCGTTTCACAACAATTTAAAGGTGAAAACATCTTTGCCTCACAATGTTTCTCGGTCGTATTGGTTCACAAAACCTATGGTTTTGTCAACGGCAAACGGTTCAGGCTCTTTTGACTGCACACACCAATTCGTCGATCCAACGTTATGGATAATGTACCTCCGTTAACAGCTTGCTACACTACAAAATTACGCACCAATACATTCGTAAACAGTTCCGCTGAGCCAGGGTTTCTCGTGTGTGTTTGGTAAATACGAACTGATTAATCAAAATCATGCAAATTAATCCGATGGAAAAATGCACCAAATTTTCTAGAGAGTGATTTACTTCGTCTGCGAATTTGTTTGTGGCACCTAGTACACGAATAGTACAGCTTAATGGAGTATAAAACCAGGAATGGGTGACATTCGACAACAAGCATGTTTGAAGTATGATCAGTCGGTGTTCACGCAGATCGTATTAGGGGATCGTTACGTTACACTAGATCACGTGTTGACTGAGGATAGTAGTGATGATAATAATAATGACGTAAGGAGTTGAAAAGTTCTTGAAGGAAAATTAATCACAAGGTTGCTCAAGACTCTTTGACAGCTCGCGACAGGATTCATCTTTTGGTGAGGCTTATCAGTCAGTCGCATTCCCCCATGTTCTGACAAGGACCGAAACTGCAAAAATTTGCAAAATACAATAATATGAATGCGAATTTCGGACTTGACAAGAGTCTATGAATCATCCGCTCTTGATGAATATCACAAACTGAAAATTCGACTGGGATTCAGCTGGGTCTCGCGTTCAAACAGAAGTGGTGCGCTAATGAGTGTATATCGAGAATTGGAAAGTTTTTGTCACGCTGTCCTGTAATAGTCCAGGTGTTTCATTACCACCTCGGTCATCAGGTGAGCATGAGTGAGCAGCAATTATTCCACTGTATTTTATTATCGTTATAAATGGCTTACTGGTAAGCTGAGGCGAATGAGGATGTGACTGATCAGCTGCATTTGTTTTCTTTCACGGAAGTTATCGGGATGAAGATAGGTAGTGGTTTTTGAGCTAACACAATATCATTTGAGTTAAGCATGTCTACCCAACTTACATCCAGGTCCCAAGTTTAATTAAGCCAAGTATCGGTCCAGTACTAATGGACAGAATTCATCCCACTCTTGATTTGTTCCAAAATAGTACGCTGGGTGTTGCTTGTCTAAACCGGACTATTGTGATGGTGTTACTGTTAACAACGAATAGGGTATGCGCGTTAATGAAGTCAGTGTAAGATAAAACCTGACCTTCACACCGAACGTGGAAAATGATCCTCGATGCTTCCTGATGTAACCTCGCAAATCAACTTGAACTGCTAGAGCAAGGCCTGAAGACTACACGAAATGTCCTTATTTAGAGGTTATTACTATTTAAGGCAAAAGAATCCCTTCAACCTATCGTCAGCATCAGTAATACCAGTTCGACTATGGGAATAACAGGTGACTGAAAAGGCAACGACCAACCAGGCAGGACATCAAGACATAACCTGTTCATTCAACAAACCATCTCATCGATATCAAAACACGTGACGTATCACATGATGAATCACGATAGATTGCGCGTTTGACGTCAACCACCTAGTGTGTGTGTGAGAGAGAGAGAGCTTTAAATGCAATGACTACCCTCAGCATGAACCATTTAGGTGAGTAGCTTGACTTCAGTTTAGACTATCCCATACTGGAAAGTCTGGCGCCGTAACCAGATTCACCCGAATCGTAAAACACGTCAACGCTAGTCACTTTGTTTAATAGCTACTATTCGTTCTAGGAGAGAGTAATACCTCATAAATTTCACCGGAAGGAAGGGAGTAACAGCATGGGACCCAAACTTCAGAACTCTTGATGAGTTCACAAAGGCTACTTTTGCCACAACTGTGCCTTCGGCACCAAGCTGAAGAATACTTGTTTAATTTTTACAATGTACAATTAGGCCAGGTCACTAAGACATTGTTAGTTGTTTTATTACTGTTACGTCCAACAACCGAAAAACCTTAAACGCATTCGGATCTTCAAAGAATTATTGGTCAACCGCTCGATGCAATATCGAATTCTGTTGACAGTATTGCACGTTCCAGAGCTGCGCTGGTCCGCCGGTACCATAAATTTTGCATTATCAAACATGCACAAGGATATGTCTCTCTGGAAATTCTTTCTCTAATTAAAGGATCAAGACAAACCGGGACGCATTATTAACACGCGGGTGGGATTTTGTATTCAGAAGGAGGTAGTGTAGAAAAAAAGAGTTGCGATACATTAAGATGGAAATAACGCGCTCGAGAGAGCATCAAAAGAGACCGAATTGGCATGACCGTGGCTTAACGTCCCTCGTATTTGATAGAACTCGAAAACTGCTTTCGCATTTATACCACGTTTTAGTTGAAACCGGGCCTTTAAATTGTTCCAGGTTTGTGTGAATTACGTAAAACCACTGCGGCAGGACTCCGGATTCATTCCATTGGCTCATTTGCCAAATCTCCCTACTAGGCTATTTTCCGATCGGTAGCCGACATTTTAGGTTCTATCCAATGGCAATTAGGCCGCTCTGGCCATAGAAAATTCCTCCCCATAGACACCATGAAGTGGACTATCCTCCTTCGTAAAATCATGTTTCCACATGACGAAGCATTGGCTGCCTGTACACGCAGACAGAGATTTAATTTGCCGCTGATCAGGTGGAAGCTGATCTGGTTATCGAGTTTGGCAATTGCTACGTAAACACTTAGTCACCATGCGAGGAAACACCGTCGGTGCCTGGTTCGGTGGAAGACCCCGAATAGTGCATTAAGCAGAAGTGACTGGAATTCGAATAGGATTGGTCAATCAACAGTGGTTAAACGGCCGGAAGCCTGTGCACAGTAGGACTCACAGACTGTTTGTGTTGAGCCGAATTAGTTATTGTGTGAAACTCTCAAAGCAGGTAAACATCCACAAATAAAGTGAACAAATCTCCCTACTCCGAATACTGGACGTTCAGCTGCACTCGATGGTACATGACATCATCGGAAGAATGGTGCTCACTGAGATAATTTTTGATTACACTCAGATTTCCGATGGAATTGCCCTCTGAAACAAGATACCAACAACAACTATTGAACAAGTGATTAGGGATTCGATCCAGATATGTCTCAGTTATCTCACTGCCCCTTGTACCGTTAGGGAAGAAATTACGAAAATGGAGGTGAACGAGTAACTCAACTTTCTTGATTTGTTACCGATCAGATTTCACTATCCAAGTAGGAGTATTCAATAAATATTCCTAATGTGGACAATATACTGATTCCAATGGCTTAGCCCCTATGCATTAGCAAACAAAACTGGTTTTCCGCTTAGCCCTGGAACATGAATTGTTTTATCAACGATACTTTAAAAGAAGATGGCTGCTCTTACAATGCACCGCACACGACCTGCAGATAAAGGATGGCATTTCTGCTTCGACCAATCACAGGAGACTTGAAAGATCAAGTGTTAGCTGAAATGTCTCCTTTACACGTGCAGTCCAGAGGCACGCTGTCAAATTCACCACTTCCTCATTTGCGCAGTCCGCATTTTAAGACCTCTTACATGATTCATTACCACTTAAAGACTGGATGTATTGCCACCTACACCCGACTTTTTTAAGTGTCCTAAACGATCCATCCAAGAGGGTTATGCCCGCATCCACGGTTCCCTTTTATCCCAGCTAGTTAAAATGGGGCATGCGGCCATTCGTGTAATACTGCTAACAAGTACCATTATTAGCGAAATACAGTCAACTGAATACCAATTTGGTTTTGATGAAAGACCCACCTGGAACCGAGCCGAATCTCTCGTTTGTGACGATATATCGCCTAGTATATTACGTCTATACATGTATCACGGTATCTCGAATATCGTGGCAACTGAAACATGAGGCGGCCTGGTGCAGCACATTCGGCCGCTTGACATCATAAGTGAGAGATTCAGCTGGGATCCAGGTGAGTCTCCCGCAAAACCAAATTGATTTACAAATGAGTGCAGTTCGATAATTTCGTGCAATTTGGCTTCAGGTAGAACATTAAGTTGACGTAAACTAGGGAACTGCGCCTACCTGATGATTCCCAAAAAGGGCGAAACGGGTCATGCGTCACTGGGGAGTTTTCAGCAACCTTGTGTGCAGTGCATTACGTCTATACAAGTGCTATTATTGTCATTACCACAAGGTACTACTACCACATAACTCACGACTGTTGAAGCTATTGCCATCAGCCAATTTGCCTCAAGCAAATTATCTGAATTTTCGGAACCTTGGAAAAGAAGCTGAGGGCTAAACAGTGGTCAGATTATCTAAAAACGCCAGCAAACGGATATACCGGATGTCATTTTCATTTCGAAATTCCAGTCGTTCAGACCGACAGGCTAGATCTTAACCTGCGATTGAACCAAGTTCGTTTATGCGCAATTGCAGACTTCAAATAAGAACGAAATATCTGGCATGATTTATGACTTATCTTATGGATTTTTGGAACATTATCATTTATTTACATAAATTTCCCTGTCGTCCCTGATATCGATAGGCTAAAAGTTACTTCATCGATTTTATGAACTCAATCGTAATATTGTTATTGATTAGCGTCCCTGTATAACCAAAGTGGGGACGATAAAACATTTCAGTGATCACTGTTTTCTGAATCATCTTGGTGGAAGATTGATTCCGGTCGCGAGGCCGTCGCGTTCAGAGCTTGTGTTTCGGCATTTATTGGAGAGATTTTTAAACGAAACCGAGCAGGAGCCACAGATTTGATCGAAACTCAAAATCACAGGGGTTTTCTACACAATTTAAAGTGTACAGTTTCCGGTCGAGTATGGACCGACCCGTCAGGCAAATGTGTGCGTGAATCCTGCAGCGCAAAATCATATTCGACGTCGGACACGTAACACATTTGTCCTCACAAGAACTACTGCATTCGCATTCAAACGAAACCGACTCTGTTGTACACAACAAAAATGGCTTCAGGCTACATGTGGATCACAACTCGGATTACCTATAAACCACTTGGAACGAGTCAAACTTTACTTATGTGAGGGCAACAAGTGTACGGCCAAACATGTTACCTACTCACATAAAACGTCCAATATTTTGTGCCAGAACCAATCATTGCCCGCCAATAAATCAAATGATTTTCTTACAAACGTATCTGAGAAAATAATTTCTCGAAAAATTCTAGGTGCCCGCCAATAAATCAAATGATTTTCTTACAAACGTATCTGAGAAAATAATTTCTCGAAAAATTCTAGGCTTCACTTCAATCGGTTGCCTATATGGGAGAAAGAATAGCCCAGGAAGTTTGGTCAGTCATCAAATTCTGGAAACAAATGGGGAGGAGAATCGGAGCTTACTAAAAATAGTAATAAGCGGGCACTTCTGGTTTCGCATCACACACATCTTCCACTTATGTGCGGATAGCCTCAACGGCTGCCAATGTAAACAAGTGATTAGCTAAAAAACGCAATAAATATCCGTCTTTACATCTGTCAACCCAACCGCGTTCTTTGAATTGTTTAATCTTTGAGAGTTCTTCCATATAGGTATGGACATGTGGTTATCGACAACGTGGTAAGCTCTATCTGTAAAAAGGTAACATAAGCAGTCTAAGCAGTCAAGGGCAGAACAGCACACTCAATTTCCTGACTTTGTCTTGCCAGAACCGGAAAAAAAACGGATAAGACGTCAAACTGGAATGATCGTAATGGCTGTTGCCCACGAGTGCTTTGAACGAGATCTAGGATTTAATAGTGAGTCTTTGTTAATAGTAGGTCTCCACGTAAAGAACAAACGGGTCCATCGGTTGCCGTAATAACTAATTACTAAAAGGATAGTGTGAAACTTAAAAACACCAGCAAACGAGGGAAGTTTAACTGAAACATTGTAATCAAACTATACTATACATGTACTTATTTCAGCTCGTCCGGCCAGTGGCCTTTCCCGGTCGGACAATGAAGCTTCTCCCAGACAAAATACTCGTCGGGGTTTAGTCAAACTGGTTTGTAGAACAGAGGATCTAAACTCAACAGTTACTGCGTTACCCCCAGCCAAGTTTTACAATCCTACAAAAGATGAAGTTCTTACCGTGCATCCTAAAATGCAGCAAGATATGTAAATACCTCTTATTATGATCGATTGCTAAATCCGCCAGAATACGCAATGCCATTTCAACATGTGTTGGTTATTAATCAGTCAAGATAATAACTTTACCACTTCGAACCGTACGAGTCTTTGTACGCAACAGGGAATAAATATCGGCTGCACATTTGCATATAAATTTGCGATGTTTTTGAACTGAAGACAGTCACGGAATCTAAGATTTTTGTAGCTACGTTAGCTGTTCCGATGAATTTCGCGGTTATCCCTCGAACCTCCTCCGGCATTTAATATGCCGCTGATTTCCAATATCAAAAGCACCAGTACCAGATGCCATGTGTCTGAGCGTCTCAGTTACATGGTGTGCACATTTTATTCTTCAAGCAGAAATCACAGCCGACTGTTTTACTGTAGCCCAATTTATTCTGTCCACAGAAGACTGACACTTGGCTGTCGCATATGGGGGCTTGGTGAGGACAGATTGGAAGAAGGACACCTCTAGAAAATGAGGCAATTTCCCAGTTCATTCGCCTTTAATCAATCAACTGATTGGATTTAGGTCGTTTTGTGCAGATTTCATAACTCACGACGAGATCACGTGCTTTACCATCACAGAATCAGATGGGTTCTCGTATCCTATTTTATCGCTTATCAAGTAGATTTCAGAGTTACTGTTCAGCCTAGTATCGTGCGCAGTTTCCTATCTCAGCAATCGCTCGTCACGCTATTCATATCTTCAGGTAGTAGGATATAAACATTTGACTTCTCGTGCTCCGAACTACTTTCGGTTGGAAGATTAATGAAGTGGTCTCACGTGGTTTGTCCGTACAACCTGCGTAAGGATGGGATAGGCTCCAATGTGATTTGGAAATTATGACTGAATTTACCTACAGTCGTCCAGTGAACGTTACCCCTCCCACTTACTTAGAAAAAGAGCGCAAACTGTTAATCGAACAACAGTGTTGAAATTCTCTCTGAAAAATGTGGATCAACTGAACTAAGTTAGCGTGGGAGAAAAGTTAGTGTACCCGGGATACCTCAGCTTATACCGCATATGCCGTATCACCAGACCTCCTGGTCCGTTCCACTATGCGCTTATCCTTGTCATTATAATCATAATCAGTCAGTGGTATGAG